TACAAGTATTTCAACTTCATAGAAACGGCCGAAACGCGAACTATACCTACGCGCCCGATGTCGGGACGCGCTCGGGACGCAGACAGACGCGGCTGTACCGCAGTGGCGAACGGACGGTGTGTTGTCTTTTATTTAGAAATCAGTTCGAGTACATTATTTAATATGACGAATAGGAAATATTGTGCTGTTATTATGTTTGGTTGCATGAATTCGTCAATAACGCATCCAGACATAAGTTTTTTTTAAATTACCTGGAACCTCTGAAAGGTAAGACTATAAAATAATTTTACTTACTAGTAGCCTAGGTAGGTACATAATGTGTGTCTTTATGGATCATTATTTCCAGTTATCTCACGAAAACAGATGTTTGAATTTATAAATAATATGAATAAAGTTATTGAGACGAGTGAAATAGGTAGTTATAGGCGGTTCTGGTTCTGAATGAATCATGATAAGTTTAGGTACCTACCTACTTACGCTTGTGTTAAAACGGTTCATGTATGTTTTGTTAGTTTGTATAATTCAAAGTAGAGAGTGTGGTATTTTATTATTAATAATATTTGTTTATTATCTGCGTTTATGAATAATACTAGAAAATATTTAATAACAACAATAAAACAGCTAGACTCATGTAATATTTTGATGTTTGAGGGTTGTGATTTTAGAACATTCGTAGTGAAGCTGTTCAGTTCGGCATTAGTGGCCAAAGAAATTTTGTTTGTTTATTTTTAAAGCACTTTATTTGTTTATATAAAAATGGATATTTACAATCACAAAACTAAATGGAAACAGAAAGTAGACAAAGGTAATTAAAATACTGGAGACGAGCAGCCCTAACGCATGTTTACGTACCGCGCGGCTGTAGGTATTTATTTCTTTCAAGCGGCCGAGTTACAATACTGTATGATATTTATACTGTGCGAGGTGGTGCGAGCGGCGGCGCGAGAGAGCGCCCCAACCTTCATCGCGTACGGCGGGCGACATGCGTATTCCTCCGTGACTCGACGCCACTCTTACTTTAATGTTACCATGTGCTTATATGTAAGAACTATAGATGTTTTTGATTAATTATGTAGTTCAAACAATAAAGTTTTAATGTTCCAATGAATTAAACTGGCGTCCAACATGGGGCCGAATCGTAACGACACGGTTACAAACCGAGATCCAGTGCCTACGTGACCGCAGGTAAAGTACCTACGAGTACCCACCCGAACCTACTTGCCGCGTTACCGTTGACATAACTAACGTGAAGATGCCGACAACGAGGAAAGGAGAAGCCCTCCGTAAACTACGTGAAGAAGATGAAGGTGACGTCACGATTACTGACGAGGAGAGCGTCGCCGAGCGCGGCCACGAGGACGATGCCGCGCGCGCCGGCTCGTGGCCGACATCTCAGTCAGCTCCCCAGATCCCAACAGACTTCTTATCCACGCTGATCAAGACGATCACGCGTGCGCAAGTGGAAGCCAACAGAAGCCTTATCAACACGCTGATGACGTCCAGCGGCGACTTCAGAGCCTCCACCCCAGTCGGGATCTCGTCATCAAACGCGACCAGCGCAGGTGTCGCTGTCGCGCCTGCGTCGTACAGCGACGCCAACTTTACGAAGTGCACGGCGAGATACGACGGCTCATCCCAGGACACCGAGCTCCTGGAAGCGTTCCTGGACGCCGTCCAAGTTTACAAGGAGTGTGCAGCGGTGAGCGACGAGCACGCCCTACGTGGGTTGCCCATGTTGTTGGAAGGCGACGCCGCCATATGGTGGCGCGGCGTGGAAGCATCGGTACCTTCGTGGACGACGGCTTCGCGCCACCTTCGGCGTGGCGCAGCCTGCGCATCAAACCCTTCGGTAGATATTCGCCAGAGAGCAGGGAGAAGAACGTGCAGAAACATGTAAAGTGCGCGTTACCACAAGTTACCGTACACGTTCGAAGAAAATGTGCAGGTGGACATTTGCTACGGTTTACTGCACCGTGTTCGTAGGTTAGACGACTTACTATATAAGGCTGGGATCGCGGAGGATACTTACCTACAAAGCGTCAAAGGTAAAGTCCGATACTCTAAATAATATTAAATGGACCAAATCACCGGCGGTGACTACCACCGACCGAGATTTCACTTCGGACGAAGGTTGCAAGTTAAACTCCGAGCAGCGACGCGCCCTCAATGCGTTCATAGAGGACCGCGCGCCGCAATTCGCGTGCGAGGGCCGTCGACGGAGTTCGCTGCGCATCGTATAAAGGTGAGCCCACAACAAGAACCTATTGCTTGTCCACCATACCGTATGTCGCAGGTTAAGAGAGAGGCTTTGCGGAAGGAGCTTGATAAGCTGCTGCAGGGCGACATCATCGAAGAATGCGAGTCGCCCTGGGCATGCAATGTCTTACTCGTGAGTAAGAAAGACGGCGGCCTAAGGTTATGTATAGACTACCGGAAGCTTAATTGCGGTAACCGAATCGGACCGATATCCTCTCCCGCGTATCGAGGACATACTACACGCCGCCCAGAGTAGTGAGTTTACGACACCACTGTTGCCTAGTTGTTCCTGAACACGAACGCAGACAAGTTATGGTCGACTTGCATGAGGCGCCGACAGCTGGCCATTTCGGTGTGGAGCGCACATTAAGCCGCGTTCGTCCAAGGTACTATTGGCCTGGCATGCGCACGTTCATCGCGCATCATAAGGGTCACAGCACTACACGGTCAGGTGCGGCGGCGGTAAAATCACGCCAACTGACTTTGATGTGTTTTAACAATGATGTATAAAACTATAGAAACGTTGTCCGCGCTCTAAAATGGCAACATGAAATGAAGGCAATTGACAACATCGCGCTTAGTTACGCACCAACCTGCCGCGCGACGCTACGTTTGTTTTTAATTTATATCGTGTGTGTAAACCTGTGCGAAACATAAAGAAAGCATGCCGTCGTGTGTGTTCAGACGATGTACAAATTATACTCCAAAAGTTAAAGACAAAAATGTGTCATTTCATGCGTAAGTTCACCAAACAACCTATTTTTATTTTATTTTTTCGACGCCGGCGCCCGCCATCTTATGGCGGCCGGCGCATGAAGGTATAGTCACGTGCCGATGTAACTGAAGATGTATATTTATCTCCCTCTAGCAAAGGCATTCCACTATACGATGTCATATTTTCTTTCCCTTTCTTTACTCGTAGAATTAGTTATCTAGTATTTTCGCCGTTTTTAGGCGCCGCGATGTTGGTTCATGACGTGTCTATATATAATACGTCATTGTGTTTTAATCATAAGATCATAATATAGATCTATGAAAGTTTTGCCATTGAAAAAAGTTCTCTGAAATGTTATGATTGCTAAGACAAATATTAAATTGCATTAGGTTTAAGCGTACAAACATAAAACACGACTTCCTTTAATCTGAGACGAGGGAAGTATAGCTTTTAGTATTATTACTTTACTCTATGAGTATTTCATGGTATTGCTTGCTTTCAGCGTTTTATTATGGATTGCCTTTCCCTTCATTGAGATAGAAAATATATAGAGGCGCCGTGTTACTATAGAAGTATACATGCTTATACAAATATGAGGGAAATATGAAACAAACTACGAAATATCATTTTTTCTCACTCTTTCTAAGGCAATAATTGTATTAGACAAAAGAGACAACAATATTTAAGTTGTTGCTTAATATGGAAACAAATCATTTTGACATTAGCAAAGTTGTAGGTAAGTGCCATGTCCGCCATCTTAAGCGCTCAGAGTACCTGAGTTTCATGGTAGTTGTCCTGTCAAACGGTTGTTTATGTTTTAAATTATTGCGGTTTTTCAGTAAATTACAAAGAACCATTTTTTTAAACTTCAAATATATATAGTGAAACAAAAAAACAATATGCCTGTGTGTTGTATTTTGCAGTGTGGTACAAAAAAGAACGAAAATCAACCTCAATTGTCTTTGTATAGGTTAGTAAACAGTTTTCATCAAATATTACTTAGAATAATCCACATAGATAGAAAAAAATGTCACGGATACTTTAATCTATTGCCAAAGTATATATATTTACTTTTATTTCTGTCTGTGAGACAGTTTAAGTAACAAATTGTTGTTTACAATAATATGTCAATATGGCATAGTTACGTACCATTTCACAAAAGTATCGATATAATCTCCCATTTAAAATTCAACATATATTATATTAAATAATCTATTTTAACAATGGCTGTTTCCGCAGTTTTGTGTCACGCTAAAGTAAGACGTCAGTATTTTGGTATTGGTTTTAGTTACATAAGTAGAAGTTCAAATTATCATGTTTTATAATTATACGGGCGCGATTGACAGAGCGGCGTTGGCGACGATCCCAGTGCGACCACCAAGCGTAATAATAAAAAGTGAGATACATACAATAAGATTGACTTCACTACATATCTATTTTGTGCTAACGTAGTTTCGAAGATATCATCGCTTAATCAGACGCGCCGAAATTGTGCGCGAGCACTTCACAAATACCCACAGGTTTTCCACATATATAAAGATAAACATTTAACAAACACTATCTTTTTCTATTTCACCATTCCATTAAACGCTGTTCATAAACACAGTCCTATTTTTTTAAAAGCCGCTTTACATAGAATTATATGAATACAAATTCGACTTGAGAAAATCATTAGCCAATCAAGAGACCAAGTTAACCCCGAGTTCCGGGTTCTAGCTAGGCCGACGGCAAAGTAGGAACAGGAGTTGATTTTAGTCAGTAACGGTCTGTCCCGAAAAAGGCCGGAGATGACATTAGATGATTTCCCATAAAAAATTACCGTTAATCAGCTGGCTAATCCCTAAAACTATACCTACGTAGAACTTATACTCAAATTGTATCGATACTCGTTAAATACTTAGTCGGCACAACCCCAGCAACGGCAGCCATCTTATGCGACATTTTGGATTGTAGGTAGGCACCTTCTTTTCGTAGGTATTTCAAGTCCATATATTTCCTATGTCAATGTTTCCCTTGCAATGTCGGCCATCTTTATTTAGGCTGTAATAAAATGACAATTATGATTGAACTGTCATTGTCATTGTTGCCGGTCGGCGGTCGGCGGTCACTCAGCATTTAGAGATGATATTATAGTGTTTATTGTATGAAAGTCATGAAGAAAACTTTTTAATAGTAATTAGTGTACATGCAAATTAACGGTTTTTGTAATTTATTTATCTACTAGATTTCATAAAAATTGTAGATTACTTTACCCATCTTTAAATACCTACGGAATATTATTCAAACTTTTATTTGTTGTTGGTACATTTTGATGAAGAAACGCTTTAAAAATGTTAACAAACTTTATTTTTATGCTATTGTATTTACTGAATCTTGAAAGTGTTTGTTCTGATGAACAAACTGGTTTCATTCTGTACTGTCCTTGTATGGGTAAGTTGATTTATATTGCGATTTATATTAGACGTTGAACCTAAACGAACAAGCCAGTCAAACCTATAAAACGATTAAGACCCTCCACAAATCTTTTCTTTAATTTAAATTTCTGTATTGAATGATGATAAGAGTTTAAAATGATGATTAATTTTAAGTGATTCTGAGGTACATGGAAAGTAAACTTATTACTTATTGAAATGTTTTCAGGAAGATTTGGTAATCAAGCAGATCACTTTTTAGGAGCATTAGCATTTAGTAAGGCTGTTAACAGAACTTTGGTTCTGCCTCCATGGGTGGAATACAGATTTGGTGAACCAAGGTCTGTTCAAGTGCCATTTGATACATATTTCAAAGTTGCTAATTTAGAAGAATATCACAATGTGATGACAATGGAGAACTTCATGAAAGATTTAGCTCCTACTATTTGGCCAAAATCTGAAAGAATATCATTTTGTTACACTCAAAGAATGGGTGAACTAGAAAATAGTTGTAATGCCAAGTCAGGTAACCCATTTGGACCATTCTGGGATAATTTTGGTATTGAATTCATGGACTCAGAATTTTATGGACCTTTGAATTATGATGCTCATAATAAAATAATGATAGACAAATGGAAAAATAAATACCCTTCTACAACATGGCCAGTTTTGGCTTTTACTGGTGAGTATGTCCTTATTTAACTTTCTCATTGATCAATTGATTGCATGCATGACTGCCAAGCAATGGGTCTCAAAGAAAGCCCTGGATGGAATTGTTTATGGATACTTTTGCTGGATAAAGCAGCAAACAGGCTTTCTAATTGGCTGATGTTAAACAATCGGCACAACCACTACACACCTGGAGTACCAGAAGAGTTACACTTACTTTCCTTTGGGAGTGGGACACTATAAGCATCTACTATAATTATTATAACTGGATATTTTATTAAAGTCTATTTTGGAATTTTATTGCCAAGAACAAGTAATACAGGCAAAGATCCTATTTTGGGCCATTAATCAATGGTCTACATCATAAATACTAAAATAACTTTGTAACATTATATCTCTTATTTGTGAATAAAATAAAAAATATTGTAAGAACTGAATTAGAAACATTTTAATTATTATAAATCAAATAACAATAAATACATTTTAAATATTATTTAAACTTCATGAGCAGCCATAAGTCATCCAATACTTAATATAGACCACACCCAATCACTTCACAATATTAAAAGCCATAATATTTTTTACATTCCAGGTGCACCTGCCAGTTTCCCAGTACAAAAAGAAAATGTTCATTTACAAAAATATCTTGCATGGAGTGATGACATAGCTAACAAGGCTAAATTATTTATCAAGAAAAATATGAGTGGTGGTGCATTTTTGGGCATACATTTAAGAAATGGACAAGATTGGGTAAAAGCTTGTCAGCATGTCCAAGATAGTACTATGCTATTTGCTGCACCACAATGTGTTGGTTATAGAAATGAAAGAGGTCCACTCACATTGTCCATGTGTCTACCGCAGCCATCTGAAATTATCAAGTAAGACTTTTTTCTTCTAACTAGGTGATAAAAGATTATAGTTTAGTCTTATAAAATTATATAAATTACAAATGTTTTAAGTTATTGTAACTTGAAGTAAAAAAAATTAAACAGTTTATTCGAAATTATTATGTTAAACCCCCATAAATAATTTCAGGCAAGTAAAGAGGGCTCTCAAGAAACTGGATAATGTTAAGTACATCTTTGTGGCATCAGATTCCAACCATATGATAAATGATTTAAACAAAGCAGTACATCATTCTGAAGTTAAAGCTATCAAACTACAGCCATCTAATCCACATTTAGACTTAGCAATTCTGGGCCAAGCTAATTACTTTATAGGAAATTGTGTGTCATCCTTTTCGGCTTTTGTAAAGAGGGAAAGAGATGCAAGAGGTTTACCTTCCGAATTTTGGGCATTTCCACACAGAAAGAAAAGCAAACATGAAGAATTGTGACATAAAACTGCATTATTTGCTGATCAGGTATTTATAGCAAAATTTTAGAAACTAGTGAATTACCCTGTCCTTGCATGTATCTGTCTATTCTAATTACAAATATTAGCAATAATGGACAATGTACATTTTTTTGAATAAAAACTATTGTGAGACATACTAATATGTATATAATTTACTGAAAATAACGACTTTCTCACGTGACGAACTGAGAAAAGCACACGCGCACATCGTACGCTCGGGCCTATGAATAAGAGTCACAACAGGACGCTTATTCATAGGCCCGAGCGTACGGCGCGTAGCGTTCCGCGCACACCTCAAAGAGCCAATAGACCACCACAGACGGCCCTATAGGGCTTATGTTTAGCCGGGGTTGCGCGGTAAGCGCAATGAGGCACCGCGACCTAGGCCCAGAGCAGGCGAAGGAACAGGGGGGTTCTTAGTCAGTAAGAGTCTGACACCTCCTCCCGCCCGGCCCTGGGCGGGAGAAGTGATTTGATGATTTTACCCTCACAAAAAAAAAAAAACGCTTATTTTGCATGCAATGTTTACTGTGTCACTCCAGGTTGGGAACGCTGTAGGTCAACGTAGACTTTAGTATTGGGTTCCACGCGAAGGGCAGCGACCAGCAACCGTCTCTGTTGAAACACGGCCGCCGGCTTATCCTCCCGCACTTTCCGCAGCACGAAATATTTTCTTTGACTACAATATTGCAGTACATTATTTTGCACTGTTTCTAATATAAGCTAAAAAGGTGTTTTTTTTAAATACATAGAGACAGACAGCGATAGCAACTTAGTTTTTATAGTACCTATGTAGTGTTAGGGATGAAGTGCAGTGACGAAAGCCATAGGTGGTGAAGTTGACACCAATATTATATATTGATCTTATAATATTAATTTTCATTTTAGGCACTGAATATTTAGCAGTCTGGAGCGCGACCACGACAGTAAGTTACATGCATGAGTAATTAAAAACGTATTACATTATACGACATGTGTGACATAGTATAATTAAAAATAAATTCTAAGTACAAGTGTTTTTGGTTTTCGCTCTTATTCCTAATTCAATGTTTTACTACTCCTTTGAAGTAAAAGCCAGATATAATGTCTGCTATTAACGGCGAAAGTAATTATGAAACATTGCAATTGCAATTTATAGTGCAAACGAGTTAATTCGTTTTTTATTTGTAAAAGGAAAGTATATTCTTGTAGTCCTGTTTTTTATACGCAATGTATTTCAACTTTTTAAGTGTACTAAATGCGAACTAATAAAAACCTAAGAAGTTTTTGCAGATATCATTAGATTATCATTTGATATCATATATATGTCACCGGAAAATATCAAGATCCGTAAGTTTATCAATTTACTAGGAAGTTTTTAAACTTTCGTAAGATTCTAAACGGGAGATAAATTGTAATATTTTACGTCCACATTTTCGTAAATTGATAAACTTACTGAACTCATTCGTAAAATAATAAGTAAGTAGTAAGCAAACGCTACGTGCGATCTGATTGGTTGGCAGTCACGTGTCACTTCTCCTTCCTCGCAGCCGCCATTGCTGGCCACGGAACTGTATTTTAGCAAGTAACTGTTAAAAAGCTCATTGAAACTGATAATAGAAAACTCAACTCACTACATCCGTGCCAGAGAGGAACCAGACATTGTTGCTTCCAATTTATAGTTTGTCAAGTCTGATTATTCTGAAGTCTATGTACAAGCATTGCCACTATGAACATTGACCAATCAGAGAGCAGTGTGTTATTTTACGTATTTCAAAGATCGTATATTTAAAAGAGTGTCTGTGATTGGCCGAACCATATAAAATCTTACGAATAGATATTCGTTAGTTTATAAATTTACCGTATGACGTCGGAAATTGATAAATTTACGAAAATGTGGACGTAAAATATTACAATTTATCTCCCGTTTAGAATCTTACGAAAGTTTATAAACATCCTACTAAATTGATAAACTTACGGATCTTGTTATTTTCCGGTGACATATATATGATATCATTGAGTCATTAGCCTAGTAGGATGATGCCATTGGAAGGTGGTTGATTGAAATCTCCACTACCTCAAGTAGGTAGCCGAGTTTTTATAGTGCTTCATTGGTAACGAGTTTGGGGTTATAAGATTATCTATTTCTCCTACTGACTATGATATTGATTAAAAGTATTTTTGTAAATATACACATTTATTCATTATTACTCAAATAAAAAAACCAACTTTCGCAATATTATATGTGCATAAACTTAGTCTTAAACTAAACCAGAAAAGAAATCTGCCGCATTTTTTATACTACTTGATGGTAAGTTATTACTAAGGTCTCTTCTTTTATTTTGTTTATGATTAACATCTATAATGGAATCAATAGATTCAAAGTAAGATATATTCCAAAATTTAACATCGTTGTCATGTGAACATGAAGCAATATATTGGCCGTCATGACTTATGTCGAGACGTTCTACAGGAAGCCTATGTTGGCCCACTACACCTAGTTGACGTTGTGGGAACATGTGTGCAGCTCTCAGTACACCATCTTCACCTGATGTAACTACTATATTTTGGGTAATAGGTACCATGCACTGGATGGCATGTTTTTGTCCAATGTATTCATCACTGTGAAGTCCAAACTCTTTCCAATTAAATAAATATAATTTTCCAATAGATGAAGCTACAAGAAGCTTAGTATCTGATCGAAATAGTCCTAAGCAAGTTAATTCTGAGTCATATTCTTCTGACGTAGTGAATATTTTACTGAAACAATAATAATGTATTATTGATTGATTTTATTAGCAATACAGTAAATCAAGGAAGGCCAAATGTTAAGAGATAATGTTCCCAAAAATCTGAATTTGCATTTTAATATTCTTACCTTCCTTTAAGATCAATAGAGGTGAGAATACCATCTCCACTGGCACAAACTAAATACTTCTGAGCATCATTAGTTATCATATCAGAGACATGTTCTTCACCAATTTTGATACTAAATATAGGATCTGGCTTTCTCATATCCCATAACTTAACTGTACCTCCATCATCACCTGGATTATACATTAATTAATTAAGTTACTGTCCAGAAATCAAGAAAATGTACCAAAAGAAAGCACAAACAGTGACATACCAGTAACAATTTTATTATTATCCAGATTGACAAGTCTATAAACTGGTTCATCATGTGCATTTTCATAACATCTTTTTAGCTTTCCTGATTCAACATCAGTGGCCATTATGGTCTTATCCTGCAAAACAATAATATACTTAAATTAGGTTATTTATTGTGTGCATTTTGCATCACAATGGCTGGTTCTTTGTGGTGTTGGTCTGACAGTTGATTCGGAAACTGCTACATACAATATATATCTCTCCTATCCTATCCTATGTATCCCTCCCTTTTTATCCAGGCATATTCCAAGACATAAAAGCCATGTCGGCCCAGCTGTTCTTGAGTGTTAGCGAGACTAATCAACAAATTAATTTTTATAAATACAAGTATAAGAAAGTATGTTTGTATACAGGTTGATATGGATGGTTACGTTTCTATATAGTATATATATGAATATCATGTTCATTAGACAACTGAAGCACCAGTAGATGGACAAAGAATACTTTCTACCATTTACCGTTTACTTGCCTGAAATAGGTATTGGAAGTTTGTATGGAACATTTCTCTACTTTTCAGTTAAAAGCTTAAAATTGGTAATTGACAAAAAAAAATACATTACATTTCGTAAATCTGCCCCCAACCCTTTAAAAATGGGGGTGAAATTTTGTTATGGGACTTTTCTCAGTATTTTTTAAGATATGAAGATGATGAAGATGTATAAATACCTACGTTATTTAATCTTCTCCCAGCCCTTAAATGGGATACTTTTGACATTTTATCCTCAAAGAAAGACATTTTACATTGTCTACAGTACATTATTATAATATGTATTTTATAATAATTAATTTTGTTCAGAGTTCTCTTCTTACGAAAGGGATCCAAGTTACAGCAAATTTGCCTGTTTTTTTACATTAACTATATATAAATAATGACCCTATGGTCAACCCATATGTTAAGCAAGAATTGAATTTGAGATCTTTGTAAGTTATTAGTATGATGTCACTCAATCGGACATTGGGTCATTAGGAAAACATAATTTTACTTTATGTATGATTATTAAAAAAAGGGTTCAAACCTTAGCTGTTGAATATAAGGTGGTTCCCTCATTATCAAACTCTATATCTCTACAGGCTTTAAGATGAAGTTCCAACGTGTTCAGAAGTTTTGTCTCATCATTGTTATATTCATATAATAATACATCTCCCACAATATTTGCAATTGCTACTAAATTCTTGGAAGGGTGAAGTGATATATCAACAATAAAATCTTCACATATTATAGTTGGGGGGTGATCTCTGGGCTTGTTTTTTTCAGCTTTTATTGCTTTAATAACTTCATCTTCATCATCATCATCTTCTTCCTCTTCTACTTTATTATCACTGGCTTCATCTTCACTCATTTCATTTTGGTCTAGATCTGAAGAACAAAAATTCCATTAAAATTCACCAATAACAAAAACAACATAAGCTCAGCCTTTCCTAAAATTCATTAGTTTTTACCAGGTTATAAGCGACAGGTGCTTTTGGTGTTGTGTGAATGCGACATCACATGGTGAGATTTGCACCCAGAACAATATTTGAATACGAAACAATAACAATTCATAAGTTCCATAATCAATAGAGTTTTTTTATAGTAATACAATAAAACAGCGGTTTATCGCATAGGTCATTCATGTATATTAGAGTTTACAAACTGAATCTAAATAAGGTTATCCTATCAACACGCGAGCGACTTACCATTCGCGTTGTCATCTGATAATTCACTTTCACTCGAATCATTGAAGCCAGATGAATCCTCATCGGATGAGTTTTTATCAAAATCTTTAAAGTTATTTGTCATTTTGTTTTTATTGTGCTTTGCTTTATTTCAATTCTACCCAAACACTCACAGATTACTATATACTAGTCAGAGACACACTAGTCAAACACTATTTCATTTCAGTTAGCGAGACAATGACAATGACAGTTCTGACACAGTACATCAATCAAGTGACATATTATGCTTTTAATGACAGCAGTGCTTATTTTTTCTATGTTACTATTTGACACTGGCAGTATAGGCGACAACATAAAATAGGAGACTCGGTTGCGATTGAATCAGAATCAGAATAATTTATTTGTTAAACATAGGTAGTTTACATAATAAGGTCTTACATATAGATAGTCCACTATGTTTTGCCGTAATAGACATACAAATATATTAGGTAAATTGTATAGTGGATTGAAGAAAAAAAATTTTTTTTTTTCTATGGCTAAGCTTTAAGCCATAACCCAATTATAATATTTTATACTTTTTTACATAACCAGGGACTAGCCCTTCGTTTCTTTGAAAATTGAGGTGATCTGACTTCTTATTTGTTAGCTTAAACTAGGGGTGTTAAGGAGCTACGTAGCTGAAATTATCGGATGTCTGAAATAAAGTAATATCCGCAAACGTAACTGGGCGTCTACTCTTATTCTACGAAAAACGAACTTTCGATCGAAACTTCGCGTGTTTCCTACCACAGTTTCAATTCGTTCCGAAATATCGTTCGAACGACATTGTTTGACATTTAGAACCTACTCTAAATAATTATTAACTCCGAACGAACTTTTGAATTTGACAGACGATTTTTCGGATTTTTAACTTCAAATTGACGAAACCAAAAGTATTACCTTTTAATTTTCGTTTAGTGTGGATTTTGTATGAAAATTGTTTGAAATGGCTACAAGAATGCTTTAAATCGAAGCTCTTTTACGTGAAGAACGTGTAGAGCGTAGAAAGAACAACCGGCGCTACCTGCGCAATCTACTTAATATACCTAAGTCAAATTCCCGACTTAGAGTTTGTAGGACAGTCGCCTATTATTTTAGGAGCTATGGGAAACTAACTTTTTGAAAAGTTTTCAAACAAAAACTCATAAGTTGTATGTTATTGTTATGTTTGCATGTAGGTACTCCGATTATTCGGAACGTGTTAGTTAGGTGGAAGGGGTAAAGAAACCAATTGCTGCGCTCGTCGCGGCATAATTATGTAAAAATGAGGAAGTAAATAAAATAACACTTTTGAAAAAAAATACTGATTTTTATTTCCTAAAGTTCTGCACTTATTAAACAAAAATTTAAAAAAATATTAGGTGTCATTTTAAATTAAATTTAAATTTTCTATTAGAACAGATATAACAAGGAGTATCATTTTAAACAACTTATTAGCATTTTATATAACATTAAAGCAATATTACTGTAACACATCCAAGTATATTAAGTTAACTTAAATAAGCATTATTTACCAAATAATGCTCAAAATAAAAATATCCCACATTGCCATCCCAGTTACATACATTTGTAATTGAACATGAGTGTAATATTAATGGCTTTGTTTTAATTATATTACATTTTTTTTAATTAGTAAGTAATTAACATTACATACATTTTTATCAAATTCAACGACAGGTTTCTTTTCAAATGTAAATAATTGGACATTTAGCTTCGACTCGCTTTGTCACACAATTTTCTTCCACCACTACACAATCAATATTAACGCACAGCCATATTATTATTCGCATTAGTTCTTTGTTCTTCCACATCCCTCACATGTTCTTCTAACACCAATTTTACCTTTTAGCACAGTCTGGGGTTAGAAAATGATTGTGTGTTTATAACACTCAAATCCTGTTTTTATAATAATATCCATTTTTATACAACTCAATTCAATATATACAATTCAATAAAATTCCTTTCACCACATATATTTATTGTCTTCTACAGTATATTTTATTAATTCGTACATTGATAAAAATAAACAATCTGTTGACATTAATTTTTTGACACATGTCGTGCACGGTCCGAATACAGCCATTTTTGGTCGTCATACATAACAACCCTTTCTTGGCATGAAATAGTACTCTTTAAATTAGTCGGTTATAAATGTCTGTAAAAGAGTGTTTTATAAGGTAACGATGATAAATTACACGATAAATTACAATTCCGTCAAAAATAAATATATTATTATTTTCTGCGTGGCATATTATAAGTAATAGTTTTACAAACCACATACATAATGTGGAATTTAAAGAAGCAGCCAGAGAATTTGTAATTTTAACTTTAAGTAAAAACCGTAATTTACCACAAATCACATTAAAAAGAACCTACAAAATTACATTCGTTCACGAAAATTATCTCTGGATCGAACTTCGTATGCGTGTCCGAAAATAAAACAGAGTAGGGTCGTCAACGTTCTTTCGTTCGAGTTTCGTTCGTTTCCGAAAGTTTCGTTTCGAAGAAAGAGAGTAGACCCCCTGATTCCGAATTAAACGTTTTGGTTAAAGATCGGATTTCGGCGAAGCCTAATTGCTACATGTCATAACAGGTAGATTAATCAATTTATATTGTACATTTGAAATTCTTTAATTATTTTATATGCGTAACTGAAATTATCTGAAGCTAGCGGATAATCCGAAATAATTTCATACCCGTATCTAAATAGTATAATAATAATTTCTATATCCGTATCCGAAACTGCATGACATCTCTAGCTTAGACCATAGTAAAGTAGATTTAATTCCATAGTGCTTATCTTTGATTAATTCCTCCATGTTTGTTTTCAAATTGACAAAATGACAAATCAGGCTGTCAAACAGTGGACGTACGAAGATACAAACAATCTGTGACCAATACGAAGTGAAATTTTGTTGCCTAAGCCTATTATTGGATTGTTAGTTTATTCGTAAAAAGAGTAAAGTAAGTAACTAATGTGTTTGCGATAACACTTATTGTTTTTTTTTCATAATAATAATAATTATTCTTGGAAAACATTGTTGTGTCAGTAAAAACTAGCTGTTATTTAAATTGGAAAGCTTAGCTTTTGGTAAGTACAACGTAGTTATTTATTTATTGAACATATTATATTAAAGCCGCACACAGAATTCATTTTATAGATACATTAGTCTAATATTATTAGCTAGTAAATTTTTTATCATAGGAATAGGTACAGTTGTATTACACTGCTTACACAACTATTTGATGGTGTCACACAAAGAAACAGTTAGCTTCGGCCGCTCGTACTCCTGCCTATGGTCTTATGATTGGCATAAAAAATTAATATGACATTAACATTACTGTTCCCAAAACTTTGGAAAAAAACCACCACATACATAATCTGGAGGTTTTATTTCCAACCAATTGGAATTAAAACTTCCACCTTCTTATTCAGTCTTATTTGTGTCAAGGACCAATTTATTAATAAAAAATTACACTGCTTAAATAGTTAGGAAAGTATAGTAAGTTGTATTAGACAATTATGGAATTCACTAAAATAAAAATTATATTTGAGATTAAATGATTATATTTAGTCACTTTTCTTTACTAGCAATGCTTGGTAGAGCCATATGGTAAATAAAAGGTCCTCTTATAGGTTTTGTCTCTGCCTTCCCTGTACAAAAATTTTCAATATCTAACTTTACCTACATGAAACACAAAGCAGAGTATACCTACCTGTTTCTTATAATCCCATAACTCTAGTTAGTATGATTGAGACCATGTCAAAAAAATCAACTGCCATCTGAATTATTTTGAAATGATCCTTTTTTTACAGTCATTATTATAACAATAAAAAATCCTTTCACAAAAAATGTAATTTTCACTTAGATTAAACATATTCAGGGTCAAAGTTGAGCAATCACAATGTATGACCTAATTTCAAATAATTAATACATATCTAGATTTATACATTTTTGGACCTCTTCATCTATCCATTCATGAATTCTAGGAGTTGTAGTATGATATGGGCCAGTTTGATAGATAAAATGGCCACACAGAAAGAGAACAGGTATGACATAAGACTTGCGTTGTATTTCGCCATGTGCAAAAGCCCAAATGTTACCCTTTCCCAATTCTCAAATCCCTTAACCCCAAAACAAGAATTCCTTTTGTGTTGTAGGTGTTGTTGATTGCTGATCAACAGGTGATTCGAGTGCTTTGTTGCCATTTTTTTACGGCAATTTCATAGGTAAGGACCTATTATTTATTTGATTTGATTTTGCTGTCCCTCAAAAAAAAAAGAACCTATAGTGACTGCTTGTAAAAAAACAAGATGTAAATGTCTAAATGGAGGGTCACCAAATCACATCACACTTGCTCTTATCAACCAGTACATAGTAACTGGGTGATACAAACCTAGGTGTGACATGTGACTATGTGACAAAAACAAAAAAGACACTGCTAAAAGGTCAACAAGTGCTCTAATTTAAAATTGACATAAAAAGTAGTTAACAATCACCTGTCTTTCAACAACTAATAAGGATCAGATTATTTTGTCTTTTTTTTTTATTTAATAAGGTACAACAACAATATACATAAAATCGTTTTCTTAATTTTATAACTGAGATAGAGTTTTTGTATGTATATCTTTAACAGATGTACACATCACTTACCATATGTAAACATAAACATTAAACTAAGGAAAATTACTAATACATTAAAATTTAAATAAAAATATTAACTTAATTCATAACGTGAATCAAGATTAGGATAAAAATAAAAATAAAACAAAATAATTGCTGTTCTATATTTTAAACTGTCTTCCGTCACATTCTTGTGACATTATTTGAGTTTTTGACATTAGTTACTCAGAGACAGTTGAACGGATTTGGTTATATTTTTTATTTGAATGGGTTATTTTTTATTGGAATAGGTGAAACTACTATATTGATATCTAATATAGTTTAGCTTCTAGAGCCAGTGCTAGTCCTTCATTTCTTATACTTACAATTCATATTTTATAAATAATTAATGTAAGTGTAAAGTTTATACTCATAAATAAAAAAATGCATCATAAGCAGAAATATATTTTACTGTTATTGTCTTTTACTACTCTCTTTCAAGAGCTTTGTGAATATAATTTTCCCCAAATTTTTATATTTTATTTTGTATTATACTTGTTATTATTATTACGACCTACTGTATATACCATACATATTTATAAAATACTTATAGGATTTTATATTTCCAACCACATTGTTGCTGGCATCATTATTTATATAATTTACAAGTACCTTTTTGCAATAAATGTTACCGTCTGGTGTACCAGTTTCCTTGGATTCAATCCCATGTAAGGCTAAGAAGCATTGGGTTTTTCAATTTCTTAAAATTCCCAGTAATAGCAGGTGTGTGTGCGCCTAGTCGTCGTATTTTACCGTATTTTACACTTGACATATTATTAGCACGCACTATCATGTGTCCAGCAAAAGACTAAGCATCTGCATTATGCAATATATATGTATATATATAGTAGAAAATGTAGGTGGATAAGTTACCCAGGTAGTTTTTTTTAGGTTGGCTTAAGAGGGAGTATGAGACTCTTACCAACTAAAAACCACCCCATTCCCTTTTTCCGTTTTGAGTAATGTATTTCTTTGCATCTATAATATATCGGCTCTAATGGGCCTTGCGATCCCCGATGCAAGAAGTTACAGCGGCAGTTGGGGTGTGAGGAAAATATTTTCCTCATGCGTTACGCCTTCTAATTTGTGAGCGTTACTGCTTTACAGGAGATGACTTCTCAGTTCCTCTAATTCTGTATCATAGCCGGAACTAAGGATAAGGCTCAGTTCAGCTCAATTAGGGCAAACAACAATATATATAATAGCAGTCACTATACATCCAAAACCAGTTATTCTTGTGAGTCGATAAGTTTTCGTCCGCCCTTTTCGTGAATAGACACATTATTTTTTTACGACTTTAGTTGTCAATCCATTTTAGACCATAGATGACGGAAGGCAATGCCAAGCTGCAAGCCTATGGGAAACCTAATTACTCCCTTCCCTCTTCCATAATAGTGGAACACTTCTTTTACAGTGACAGGGATTTTATTTGGGTGCATTTCCATTTCCATGTAGTTATAAAGTGGTAACTACCCCGTTCCATGATAGAAAAGACATACAATAAACAAATTAAAAAATACCTTGCCTGAATAGCTTAAAATAGATTTATTAACGTGGACTTCCCCTTTTCCTTTTAAGGGCACTCAAACATCTTCCTTTCTTTTTAGGGGTGGATTTAAAAGTGTATACACGTGCTTCGTCAACTGTGTAAGGACGTCAATACCACTCAGATACTAATAACTTATAACGGGGAATTGTCTCAACTGTCTCTGTTGTGTTAAGCACAATAGGTAATTGTATATTATTTCTTATGTACCGTTAATTGCTGACAAGTTTGTTTACGTTTACCAAAACAAATTTGACTTACTCGTAAGAATTTCGTATCATAATGGTGACTACTACTACAAAATCCAATACCTAAGATTTAGCCCGGAACGGCGATTGAACCGCGGACTTCATATATATCTGAAAAGAAACCTAAGTTTGCAATAAAATTTACGTAAGCATATATTAGAATTAACAAAAAGTAACGTTACTTTATTATTAATAATGAAATACTAAATTATTTAATTAGACAGTTCGGATTCAAGCTATGGGACCTAGTTTTAATTTTGATATTATTAGAACATAAGCACCAGCTCTTGTACCGTATTATATATAGTTAATTATTGAACTTGCCTTGTCAAACCCATAAATCTAAAAATTAATCATTGCCATTCATGTTTTGCTCTAGCGTTGTAGCTACATAATAGCGGTTGGACGTCAGACATCATGGGAGGCAGGGGGAAGTGGGAGGAGGGTACGACTGTACGTACGTAGGTGGCACCACGGTGAGTTGACGACGATCTAGCACGTGCAGTGTACACGCGACCGCGTGAGCGTGACCTACTATTGGCGCTTTGGATAAACGTTGTTTTGCTCACGTGGGAGTACCTTGTCAGATTGTTTCCTGAACTAAGGCGTAATTTCCCAGTTATAGAATAAAATATTGATCAAGAAGTTCTTACGTGATTATCAACCATATTATAGTGGCAAATAATCATTAGTTAATTGATTAGTTTGAAAACAATCTTTCGTGTATTTATTATTGTGTTTAAAAAAAGTTGTTGTTGGTTATATGTGCATAAAATCGTTTATGGGAATTTATAACTACAATTAATTATTCTCACCCATGTGGAGTAAGTACCTACTCAGTTGCATGTTTTACTTTACGTTTGTAGTTTTTTTTTAAAGAGATACTACGATTTGCCAATTGTAAAGCAAAGAAATACCTACGACCATTATTGACAAATTGATCAAAGTGAGATCATCAAATTTATTTACTAAACGTGTAATACCCAGTCAACTACTGGATTGTGAGAAATGTTTTTTCACAAATAATGTATCTAAGGACTTAGTTCTTAAATATTTAGATAGTTGCAAATTAGACACTTCATTAAGGCGTTTCATGAATTAAAAATAAAAACAATGAAATTAGTTTAATATTTCAATTCCATCTAAACAATATAAATACTATAAAATTCAGCAAGCGCGAACTTAAAATCTTATTAAAAGGACCATGGACCCTTGCCGCTAGTGGCGACTGATTTTCACACCTATATTACTCTACCATAGATTTGATAAGTGGAATATAAAATGATATTTAATTTGTTTTACTATTATCATTTTATCAGTACCGATGCTATTAAAAAACGACTTATGGAATGTATGGTACGATTTATGGATTTAAATAATAGGGAGATTGATAGCTAATTGTGCATACCATGGTATGGCATGGTACAACCATGCTATTTATTGGCTTTTTGTTGTTACCTTAATAAAGTCCAATGATAAGGTTACCGGCAACACATTTGACGCGCTCATCAGAAAAAGATAGTGGTTTTGACAATAATAACGAATACATAAACGTTATCCTTACTTTCGCGTTGCATATTTAATGTATACTTTACTGTTTTACGGGATTTAACGCGCACATAAATGAATACCTACATAAATGTATGTACTTACATAATTGATACCACCGTCTTTGTTCTAACTACAGGGATAAAGTAGGTACTTTATGTATAGTGTAGCTTAGTTAACTATTAGGTAACCACTAATTCAGAAATCGTTATTTTGGCTATAAAGTTGGTTTACCTTACTATTTATTAAATATCCTAAAAAATGTTCTTAGAACTTAAATAGTTATCGTCATTGTGAGAAGACCAGCCGGAGGTCACGGTGGACCTCTGGCATCGGGGCTAAGTCGAGGTCGTGGAGTGAGAGGTACTGGGAAGCCTTCTCCTCTTTAAGCGAATCAGTGATGCTCGCATAGGAGGCGCAGCGCGTGAGGGAAATATGCTCCCCATGCTCCAATCTGGTCTCGTTCGAAACACTCCGGGCATCGAATATCGTGCGACGTTGTGCTAGGGTAGCTACCGCCAGACCTGAACTAGATCCGAGCGTGCACACGGCACGCTGCTCGCTCGCATGCACGCATCCTCTCCGCGCCGGAGATGGCCGGAGGTCATTCCGCCACGCACTAATTTGGCGTGGCAGTGGAGTTTTGTAGCCTATCCGGAGAATATCTACTGAGATATCGAGACGAAGACTTACGAAATCGAGTACCTGCCTAGTCAAGGCAATATACAAAAAGGCATCAGTAACAATGCTTTAAAGAGCAAAAACATGCAAAAATGTCAACTCCTTATTGAAGCTTTAATTTCGAAATAATCGTTCATTCGTTACGATTCCATCTGTATATTGATAGATACTTAAGACTTTGCCAAGTATAATGTACTTATTAATTATTCTGTGGTTATTTTACCAAAGTACGAAAATACAAAGACTTAGTTTGTATTTTCATCAGTATTCGTAAACTGTTTAAGCATAGACTATATATACATACATATATAGATATAGTATGAAAGAAAGTAGCTTACTCTGCCCCTATATCCCTGTGTATACTTAAATCTTTAAAACTACGCAACTAGTTTTGTTGTGATTTTTTTAGTAGATAGAGTGGCTGAAGGGGACGTTTTATAACGGTTTAGTGGTGAAATTTAGTATCAGGATAGCACCTGTGCGAATCCGGGGCTGGATACTAATCTATCTTCTTATATATAAAAATGGATCGCAAAATGTGTTGGTAAGCGCATAACTCAACAACGCCTGGACCAACATCGCTAATTCTTTTTTTGTTATGTTTGTTATTGTCAGGAGAAGGTTCTTATGAAAGAAAATTTTAGAAAAGTAGCGGGAAGAGTTGGGTAATAGGGACCATTTCATCGTAAGCGAGATGATGAGACCCGTGCGGGCGTCGGACGACCTGCTAGTGATATATAAAAGAAAGAACCAGTAAGTACAGAAGGAATAACAATATTTGACATTGTTTCAGATACAAAATGGAATGGGTCCTTCGAAGTCCACAAATTCACAGTACATTCAGCAACCTCGGATTTTTACATGCAGATGGATATCACGTGAACGAAAATTGCAATGGTGGGTACATACAAATATAACACTTACGACTACATGAACTCACCTCATAGTAAGAATTGATTACACTTCTGTACTTTTCTTTTTAGCTGCGCTGGAGACAATTCTTCACAATATCCTGACAGAGGACAAATATCTACGTACATATCGTAGAAGTATAAGCTTTGGACAAAACATCAAGAAAGACTTAATACCTCTTTTAATTCATGCCAAAGAAGATGCAACTATAGAACTACTAATTAGAATACTAGTAAATCTAACAATTCCTATAGAGTGTTTACTATCTGTTGACGTCATATCTAGAAATGATTTCGGAAGGCATACTATTTTCGAAATTAATAACTTGCTTGCTTCCACAAAGGTGGCTTTCACGGATCACCGTGCGACTAAAGTGGTTATAGACTTCTTAAAGAAAAATGTTGATTGCGAACAAAAATCTAAGTTAACGTCAGAGCAATGCACAAACATAAGTAACAGTCTCTTGTTACTTCGGAACATTTTACACATACCAGAGGAACCCAGTGGCCAAAGCCCTAGTTATAATGGGCCTCACGCTGTGCAGAATCAAATTTTATGGAATATATTTAGCCAAAGTATCGATAAAATTCTCATTAAGTTAATGATTATTCCTGATGCGGTAAGTCATGCTAAACTATATAAGTATACTATAAGGTAAACATACGAATTTATTAATATTGTATGTGAAGTTACTGCCATATTCTATTTATTAAAATTTTTATTAATCTGTTTTAGACAGCATGTGTGTAAACGCTACAGTGTGCCAGTGTGATATACGTTGCCAAGTGGGTATACGAAAAAGTTTTAAGAGTCGAGATGTGTGTTTTGTATTTGTTTTTCCTTCCAGAATAAATGGGCAGTAACAATGGTTCAATTAATAGCATTGCTGTATAAAGATCAACATGTCGTGACCTTACATAAACTGCTCAATTTATGGATAGAAGCTTCATTATCTGAGAGTTCAGAAGATAATGAGAGCAATACATCTCCACCAGATCGAGGTAAGCACACTCTCGGAGGATATTTTCAGATAAAGCTTAATATAATTATCCCTTAAGAAGATACCATTACGACACATATAATAATAAATTTTGGCCTTAGGTAGCGACTCGTCACCGATGTGCACGTCTGAGCCGACATCGGATTCATCAGACACGGGTGGCAGCGGCAAGAGTAATGATGATCCTAATTCTGTTAATAAGGATTGGGATGCGTCTTCTCAAATGAACAACACAAGTGAGAATGGTAATCCACCGTTTCAGACAACCGAAGAAAAAGAATCGGATAACGAAGATAAAAATAATTCAATAGAAAGTAACAACGATGAGATTGTGCAGTCCGATAACGTATGCTGCATTTATGTTATTATATTGATGGAAAATTATTTCAGTATTATGTTAACGGTTATTTTTAATTTCGAACTTTGCTCATAGGGACAGTCGTCGTCTTGTAGTGGAGGCGCCCAGTCCAGCAGAAACGGCCAGGGGCAACAGCCAGGAAACACTGAAAAGAAAACTGTGATATCAGAAAATTCTGATTGCGGTTACGGCACACAAATTGAAAATCAAGAGTCAATATCGACATCAAGCAATGAAGACGAGTTGCCATCAAAGAAACCTGTTCATCAAAAGCCTCATAACCCTAAGCAAAGGGTAAACAACAAGGCTCGCTCCGGCGTTACCATGCAAGACAGGAAGAGGAAGAAAATAGTCAAGAGAGGCAAATCTAATATGTATGTTGAGTTAATGATAGTATTATGTTTATAGTTCCATATGGTTACTGAATTGGTTCACCTATTATCTTTTGATGTTTTCCAGAATCAACGTCCAAGGATTATCCCATAAGACGCCGACGGATGATGATATATCCAATGTTTTAAAAGAGTTTACCGTTGATTTCCTTTTGAAGGGTTATAACTCGTTAGTACAGACACTTCACAACCAAATTTTGTCCAATCTCCAACTAGAAATAGACACATCACATTTCTTTTGGTTGGTCACTTACTTTCTGAAGTTCGCCACGCAAATTGAATTGGATTTGGAAAATGTCAGCTCGGTGTTGTCTATTGATATAGTGTCTTACCTGACCGCTGAAGGGGTCAATCTATGTGAACAATTTGAGTTGGCTATAAAATTAGATGGCAACGACTTAAAACCCAATATCAGACGCCTCCATTTAGTAAGTCATTTTTTATTACATATTTCCAGAATGTAATACAAAATATTGTTTGTAAATTTTATTATATCCTTTTAACCCTAGTTAAAATATATATAAATCATGTTTTCGCAGGTCGTTACGGCTATAAGGGAAATAATACAGGCTATAGATGTGTATAAAAAGTTTTCTCACATCTGCAAGGAGGATCAGGAGGCGCTTCTCAAATTACAACTTAAAATGTGCGAGACTGAAGAGCTCAGATCGCTTCTTGTTTTGCTATTACGTCACTACAATCCAAAATATCACTCAAAGCAATATCTCCAGGTAAACAAATTTTTTTTAATACCTAAGCATTGCTGTCTGTTGTGCCTAACTCTTGTAGTTTTTATGAATTAATGTACATACATTACAGATTCAAAGGTTGATTGATTTCTTAAAAAATATTTAAATATTCCACTTCGGGAAAGTCCTAATAAAAATAAACTTAAATTGTGATTGTGTTCCAGGATGTGATAGTGACAAACCACATCTTACTCATGTTTCTCGACAATGCAATGAAATTGCCGGAATACAATGGCTCCACGAACATGCTTGACCATATCAGACAGTATGTGTTTTGTAGTTTTATTTATTTTGCTAAAACTCCTAGAACTATTCTTGAAAATATAATGAACATTAACAAAATGGTCCGGTCCAGAGTTATTGGGGCGCGTCATATATGTATTGATCTGGTTTGTATCAAAAGATAGGACTCATTTAACATTTGCTAATAATTTATTGAAATAAAGTATGTGGTTTACAAAATGTCAACATTAAGTTTCATAATTATTTGATTCCGAATTTCGTTAAAGTTCACATACTTAATGGTAAATGGTTTGACAGGTTTGCCTCATCTGAAATAATGTATCAGTATGGATTGCTATTGGAGGACTACGCCGGTAACGGAGAGTTCGTCAACGACTGCATATTCACGCTTATGCACCACGTCGGAGGAGAGCTTGAAAGTTTGATAACTTTATTCCAACCCAAGATCTTGAAGACTTTTACTTCTATATGGAAGTCTGAATTCGAAATTTGTGATGTAAGCAGAAATAACATAATATGTACTTTAACAGCCAAATCCATCCATCAAAATCAATCCATCCAAACAGTGGATTTTAAATTTTAAATTGTACATTACAGGATTGGTCGGATCTAATCGAGTATGTAATAAATACTTTCATCAAAAAACCTCATTCTCTGCAAAGTTCGGCTAACTTTAGACTTGACATTGAAAATTTCGATGATGTCAAAATTATACCAAAGCCAACGGTTGCTCCTCCAGCGCAGAGCAAGTCGGAAACTGTTGAGGCTGAAGAGAAGAAGCCCACCACTAAAAGTAACACAAGCTGCATCTCAAATGGAAAAGGAGAGTCCAGGTAATGACGATTATCAAACATTTTTAAAAACTACTAAATGAACCTGTGTCTTCGTGTAGTAATTATCCTGAGACATACAAAGCTTATTAAAAAAGATATTTTCTGTCATTTATCAATTTATATATATCGTTATTTGTTAATTCGTTTACTTTGATTTCTTATAAGTATGTTTTCATAAAATTTTAAGACCTATATATATCTTGGCATTCTGTTATTTGTCCTTAAAATTTTCGCACAATATTTTATGCACAACAGTTTTCGCACAGTTTCTATAGTTGTTCTAAAGCAAATATTTATTTACAAGCCAGCAAACTTGCAGTATACAAGCAAGTAGGTATGCAACATGCACCAGGGATGGTTTCTGCCACGCGTCACGCATGCTGCCTATACAGTTTATATTACATTTCAGCGTTAGGGCAGACAAAACTACGACGTTTTGTTAATTATAGAAATTGTTTCAGTAATTTATTTATCACTAACTTTCGCTGCACATGTTGATTTTTTTACATTCGCTGTCATTTCGCCTAGTGACGTTATGCAAAATATGTAAATGTATGCTCAAACTATGTTAAAGTATTATTATAGTGCTAATCGATTATACCAAATTGTTATGCCAAAGTAGACTAAAAAAATATTATGCTAACACAACGGAACCCGTTTGTTTATGTGTACTTTTTGTTATAACAACGCAAACAATATATTTCCTATTCTATTATTACAGGTGGACAGAAGACGAATTATCATCCTTAAGTTGGAATTATATGCAATGCAGTGCTTTACCTGATGTAGTTGGCGAGATCATCACGCTGTATAAAGAAGATGGAATCATTAAATCGCGAGATTCAGTCATCAAAGAGCTTTACACTCAAAATCTTATAAACAAAGAAGATTATGATAAGTTTGTGAAAGGTGAAAACGACAGGAATATAAAAACTGTACAAGTTATGAAAGAGATGAGAGACGACGAAATAAACAAGCTTTGTGAACAGCTTACGCAAGATGGAAAGTCTAAGTTCCTTGATTGGGTTCAAAAAGTATTGTTGGAGACCTGCTTTGCTAAGATATATTTAGATAAACTGGCAAGAAAAAGTGAAGGCGACAATACTATAGAAGAAAATGAAACTAAATTAAGCAAGTTGAAGAAATCAAATGATTTGCATATACTGTCTCCAGTATCGTATCACTCTCTGCGTAAGTATTGCTTATAGTAGCTTTTTTTAAATGTTTCCTAATGGAACCGAAGTAAGTGCATGTATTTTGTTACAGTTATGAACCAATCTATCCCACTGGTGCCTTGGAACTGCAAGCAGGCATCTATTTGTAAAGATCTGAAGTTTTTGCAGCTGCTGCATAAGTTAGGGTTCCACATGCCTGTAGATTCCGGCAAAGTTTTTATCCGAATACCTCATTTCTGGACCGCAGATTTCTTATATGACGTAGCCGGAAAGATCTCGCCTATAGATAAATGTAAGTTTCTAACCTTAAAAATGAGTTATATAATATAATAACATTTTGTTTCATTTGACTATGTTTTTCTTATATTTCAGCTAAACTCAAGTTCTCTATAAATGATATATCAGACAGCAGTATTTCAAACTCGATGCAACAAGAAAACCTGTTGTTATTGCCTGATCTTACAAAAGATATCAGTATGATTGAAAATTCTGACAACTTTTATCAGATCCACAAACAAAAGCACCTAGCCACCATGGTTAATTTTACGCCAATGTAAGTATACTTCGATATATTTAAATTATCTGCACCTTTCCCCATATACTTATGATGTTGAACCTGCCTCTTTTTGCGGTTTTAATAATACTAAGTACCTGTATTGTCAACTCTATTATAATTATGGCCTTTCAGGCGTGATACAAGTGTTAAATAAATCAGTTATTAAATACTTAAATTATTTATATTACTATCGAAGTGTTAGTTCTTGTAGCAACCCAAGATTTACTATCAACTTCCACACAAAGTCGCGTTTCACCCCACAATACGAATAGGTATTTTTGTTTTATTTAATTAAGAATTTATTTCATCGGTTTAGAATAGATGTATAAATTACAAGTATTTTCAGCGCTTTAAGTGTGTCATACCTTATTTATAATATCCAGAAGTAGTAAGAAAGCCTTGTAACCTTCCCTGAAAATAGGCTATATTCAAATTATACCTGTGTAGTTTCAAATCATCGAAAACATTTACAAGCACCTCCTTGAGTAATATTGTTTATGTACTTAGTTGTACAAAAGAAAACAGTGAATAATTGAAATGTATAAATTGTATTCTAGGCCTAGCTCTTCGTTTAATTCGGAAGGTGGTGATGTTGATAAACACAACTGGTTGGAAGTGGTGCAAAAATCACAAGAGTACAAAATAGCCTTAAACTTGGGAAGGTAAAAGGAATTGTTTATTAAGATAAAATAAGTTACGTATACGTAAATACATTAGGGATGCTTCAACAATACAGCTTACGGCTCATTCAGTTTTGAAAAGCAATTTAGGTTTAGCCATTTCCCCACACATTTTTTCATAAACCTGTCTCACACCTTTAAAGTAGGCTAATGTAAATGTTGGTAATGGTTCTGTTACATACCCATATGTATTTCTTTTAGTAGTATCATTAAAAGTGACGAGGAAGCGCAATCGGACATCGTTAACCTGCAGCAGCTGCCTGTAAAGGACATGGAAGTGTCAGTACCCCCGCTCCTGCTGGCCACGGGGCCTGTGGCCATCGGTTCTACCGCGACTGTGACGGGCGCTTCCTTCCCGGCCTCCGGGCTCATGATGCCAACCATCATGAGCATCAAACAAGAAACCACACACTTCAATCTGCCCGTCCCGGACTCGGAACATTACAGGTATTGTTATCTGTTCCTATCACAAAAGACACGTAAAGTAATAGATGAGAACATGTTACTTACTTTTGTGTCATTTTTAGTGTTTGCGAGACGGCGTCGGTTGCTTCGGATCTCACGCGGATGTACGTGTCAGATGAGGATGAAAAACCAGAAGTAGTGCGGCCCATTATTGCAGTCAACCCTATCCACGATGAAAGTGATGAATTGTGCGGTGATTTAGACGACGATAATTCGGGGAAGCGGCCAAGAGTGAATTATTTTTCTTCGTTTTAAAGAAATGTATACCCACCGTTTTATTAATAACTAAAATAAAATTGTAGGCAGTACGCTGAAGTAATTAATCAAAAGAGGAATCGAATTTACTTTATTCTTTTTTTTATAATTCTGGTTACTTGTTGTTACCATTATGTATTTGCGTACAGATAAATATATACGATATATACATATATTGCGTACTAAATATAAGATTAAATCTATCGTTTGTTTTTTTTACAAGAGAATGGGATGTCTTACTTTGGCGGTGTAACGATTTATGTAATAAGCATATTGTATTAAATATTTCACAACTTAATCATTGTGTAATGCTACGGTAAAAGGTAAAAGGGTTACACCTCCCCGTCACGCGTTTATTACTTTGTGCATTCCTAAATTTTAAGATAATTTAAATTTGTAAGAATATATTAACTAAAATTATGTTGCTCTTATTTACCAATTCCTCATACTTCAAATGGTATACATACTATAGGTATGTCGATTGCATAGTGAATGAATTCGTTTGCTTTTACATTTTCAACTCAATGTGATAATGATATTGACAGTGGAAATAAATAAAAATATTATAGATTACATTTGATTTTTAATAATTTATTTCTAAGTCAACAACGTTGCGTCATACACATCTAGTAACAACAATAACAAAAATATGCTTACAATAACAATATTACTGTTTCAACACACCAATACAAATCACACAAACATGGACATAACAATATGTACAGAAATTAAGATAAAAAATACAATATTTATATTAAGAATGCAGTCAGGTACGTTAATACTAACATCTTTGAAACATTTAATGGTAACTTAAACCTGTGTGACCACTAGGGTTAGGTTTATGGATATAGTCGTTTATTGCTTGGTTGTAATTTTTGGATTCAAAAGATTCAGCGTCATTACCATAGTAGCTGTGAGATGGTCCTCCATAAGAGCTTCCAGAGGATCCTTCTGAAGACTCATCGCCGTAAGGTGCGAAACCATGGATATGGCCCGAGTTATCTCCGTTATAGGATTGTATTTCTGGCCCATAGGAGTCGTCAGAGGGTCCGTCACGGGAGTGTGCTTCTTGAACCTGGTAAGAGTTTCCAGGGAAGTGACTGTGGCTCTGGCCATCCTGGCTGCCGAGCGCTTCGTGCGCATGCAACTTCGGTGGTGATTCAACGTGAGGAACTTTTACAATCTGTGGCACTGGCACTGGGTAGGGTTTGTTGATGTGAACAGGGTATGGTACTTTCTCTATCACTTTCACTGGATATGGCACTGGGACCTTGACGGCTACAGTTTTAGTGATTTTCACAACTCTGACGGGAGTTTCAGGGATTTCGACGGATTCTCCGAGGACTTGAAGTTCAGTTTCATAGTTTTCCACTGGTATTGTGTGACCATGGTGTGAAGCAAACCCGTAGTACGAGCAGCACAGCAATATTATTAACTTCTGAAAAAACAAAATAGATACATGTAACACAGGCACAATAATGTTGTTTACATACTTTGATGTTATTATTAAATTAAACCAAATGTAACTCGTATGCGAACCAACAAGCACTTAAACTCGAGTAGGTTTACGTTACCTAGGTACCTTCTAAGTTTAGGTACAAAATGATTTTGAAAGACTGAGTAGAAACCTGACACATATTATATTTATATAGGTAGTAGTTGCCTTTGCCAACATTAAATGTTTGCCAAAATTCATTAAGTAAGTGGGTACATACTTGGAAGTCTAATAAAAAACAAATTAAAATAATATGAATTAATAGGTAGGTTAGCACTTAGGTAATTTATGAGTCAATCAATTGCAAAAGTTATCTACGCAAAAAAAGGATATGAAAATTGTATAAGGTATTACATTTACTCTGCAACTATATTGTCAACAACTGTAATTATTTTTTTCCTAGTCGACGTAACCGCTAGCGAGTGAAGAAAAGGAAGTGACCGTTACGTAAATAAATTATGTAAGATCGACAACTTTACAAGCATGATAATAAAAAAAAAACAAAAACAAAAAAATTGACCGCAATCGGAGCAGTGCAACGAGAGCAATTGAATTATTTACTAACCGGTATTTCCATTGTCGTACAAGTGTGCGTCTCCGGCGCAGTTAAAAAACTACCGAATAGCGAGTCAGCTTAGTGGCTTATATATCGCACATTCTCTCTGAGCGAGAGACAGGCTTACGTTCAACGCTTCGATCGTCCAATTACTTTCTTCAGCAGTCACTTGTATTTGTTGCAGGCTCGAGTAGTGGTCTAACCAGGTTCTTAATAAGTACGACAAAGTGACCGCAACTATGCTAAACGATCAGTAACTACTTATCTCCAACTGAAATTATCATCATCCCGACTTATTTATTTATTTCTTGTACCTGCCTGGAAGGTAAATAGAGCGGTATTTTCTATTAATTTTTATCTACCTAATGAGCCCTGCTTACTCAGCTCTGTGGTCGTGTCATAAGTATTCATTTCTGAATCAGACCGTTGTTTCATCAGTTCTTCAACTTATTTACCTGGTTGGGTATGTGGGCGCCATCGATCACTAATAAAAAACTTATTAGTGATCGATGGTGGGCGCACTTCTTTTTATTTCCGACGGAATAGATAAAGGTGCACATAACCCCAACATGGATTTTTACAGTTACATGTTTTGAGAAATAGGAAACTATTTCATTAAATACACTAGGAAGAAATCCAAAATCCATTCAAAGAATTTTTGAATTATGAGCAGGGTAGGAGTACCTACCTACTTACAAAGTTGGTACTCTGTGCTACTTACCTACCCTATCTGCTTATTATTTTCTACAAGCTGGGAATCTCGAACCGCGGTATCCATATTCGGCCTTTGGGCACCTGGACCGTTTCACCACCCAAGCAAATTGGTTTTTTACCTATGTAGGTACTTAGGTACCTAATTATATACTTATTTATTCTTTTCAAAAAGTAAAGGAAACTTTGCAAATAGGTACCTAGCAACTAATCTGATACACATATTACATATTATGCACCTACTAACATCATAATCATAAATCAAACGTAATACTAGTAAGTAGATACCTATTTAGCGCAGGTACTAAAATTGATTTACCAATTCAAGGTTTCGAAGCAAACTTTTTACATTGACGATCTACTGGATGCCTTGCTGCTGCTTGGTTTAGGTAAGCACCGATGTGTCTGCAGGGAAGTGAAGAAAACGCGGGGCAAAGACCTCTCGCGCCCGGAGCGAGAGGAACTGATCAGTCGTCTCACCATTCTGTGAGGCAATAATGTTCGCAAAAGAGACGGCAGAGAGCGAGGTAACTAGTAGGCACTACTTAGGTACCTACCCTCCTCCCGTCCCAGCCGTCGCAGGAGACAATCAGAGCATCGGGGATCGCGAGATGGTCTCCGGCCACCAAAAGCGCAGCCTGCGGACGGGGACTATCTGCACGACGGGCGCCTCATAGAGCCATCAGGCCATTACGACCAGGCCATGGCCATGAGATGGCACTAGCCAGATGTGCAGCCGGGGTTACGGGTGCAAGCGCTGGATATAGATAATTTACCGCGGTATCGGCTCGGAACAGGTTGGTTTTTACTCAGTAAGGGTCTGACCTGACCTAAAAGTAGGTACCCTGAGTTGTTTGCTTCATGCTTTATTTTGGTCGACCCTGAGCACGAGAAGTGCAGTCATAAGTAATTTCCCTCCTCAAATAAAAATAAATCAATAGGTAAGTGAGTATTTCAATTGCATTCAGATTCGGGCTTCGACAATTATGTACCTACGTATTGCCCACTCGACTGTACCTACCATGCGCAAGTTCGGACTCGCGACTATATTCAGGGCGGCCACAAAATTTGGCGAGAGCTGTAAGTATTAAAACAATTATGTAAGTACCTACCTACATCAAGCTACATAAGTATTTATTATAAAGCAAAAAAGAAGTTGAGTGCACTCTGGTCATGACTAATGAGGCAATGAGTTATATGCAGGTATAGTGTGTGTATTATTCATAAGAGGAGATAGCCATGCTTCAGTACGATGGGTCAGCTCCGGAAAGATAATATATCCATAACGGTATTGTTGTTACGGTATCCGGGTTAGTCGGTTCAATCTTCCTTCTTACCCCATCGTCAAATTCGTCAATCTTTAACCGCAAAAGACCGACAACGCATTCGTAAGTAATACTGAGGTAATACTACAGGGGGTACAACAACAATTACTAATAATGTGTGAAGATATGTTGCGAGTGTCCAAACATACTTACAACTTGTTTATCATCAGCTGGGTCTAACTGCTATTTAAGTAGGTACCTACTCGTTAACAATTAATTCGATATTTTTTAATTGATGAATATTCATTGAGGGTATAGTGGTTAAGTACCTATCTAAATCATAGATAGTTGTAACATTCTATGACGATATTTGGTGGCAGCAGACATCCGAGCAATGACGATATATCCTCTTTGCATCCGAGGCTGAACCGAAGCAATAAGTTGTGAGTGGAGTGAGAATTCCTATTGCTAGTACATTGATCCAACTTAAATCAGCTTACTTGCTTTTTGAATCCAGACACCAATTAATAAAGAGCTTTGGCCTGTTGTCTGTTTGCGTTTAAAATACCATTAACACTTTATAGTGTAGTTCTTAAATTAAATGGTATTGGTAAAGTAAGTATAAGTGTAAGAGAACATGTATAAGAGAAGATACATTTTGGAGTTTGAGCCGGCACTACACGAGTTGATTCCCCCATCACCGTTTTATTATAGTACAACCGGCGGAAATCCATCCTTATATTGTTACTTTGTTCTTACTTCCTGGTTGACACCTCTTCCATCCGGTCTAAGCGTTGCGCTTCGTCGTTTATATCACGCATATCTAAGGATTGGAATAGCTTGCCTGGAACCGTCTTTACGTCCAGTCACGATTTAGGTGTCTTCAAGGCTAGAGTGAAAAGGCTCTTAATAAACTAGTGCGCCTTACCATCAACGTTTGCATCACTGTTTACCATCAGGTGGATTGCAGTCAAGCCCTAGTTTATATAATACATACTAGCGGCCCGCCCCCGCTTCGCACGGGTCCATCTATCTCGTTTTTCACGGGTCACTTTTTCCTAAACTTCCCCTCTACTTTTCTAATATTTTCTTTCATAAAAACCTTCTCCTGACAATAACAAACACAACAATAAAATAATTTTTAACAAAAAAAAAACCGACTTCAAAACAGTTAAAGTCGGTGCCAAGTAAAAGAATAATAGTGTAAAGATATTACCTACATACCTCTTGCTAGTTTGATGATAAGTAGTATTCAATATATTTTTCTAATACTCTTATTGTTTGGTATGTAGTATTTACTTGGCACCGACTTCAAAATTATAAAATACTTAGTTATTAAATATTATTTTATATTTAACTAAATGAAAATACGTATTACTTTAAACAAAGTAAATTTATTTTTTGCTTTTTAGTTTAGGTTTTGAAGTCGGTTTTTTTTTGTTAAAAATTATTTTATTTTACCATTTTAAGTGATAGGCAGAGAAAGCTAGGATGCTTCTCAAAAGAGAAGACGACGGCTACTTGAGACCGAAAATCACGGTAATGGCAGTCCTGAGCTAGTCAGCTTTCAGTGCCGTAAATCGTTGAGGAATTCCCTCAAATGTCAATGACCTCCATCATCAGGTATACTGCAGGCCTTCATTATACATAATCTATATAGGTGCAAAGTTCTCATCAATATAAAGAATGAAGTCCAAACATATTATAATTACTCCAAATAGTCAAAGAGATCCCACGACGGTCTTCCGGCTCCATCATCACAATTTACTGCATAACTTCATTGTAATCCATAAAGGTGCAAAGTTTTCATCGATATAAATGAATTAAGTCAAAACACGAGGTAGTTACGGTAAACCGTTCAGGAGTTCCCTGAGCTGTCCATCGTTCTCATCATCAGACCCTTAATGACAGTCACGACCCATCTTGGTGCAAAGTACTCACCAATACGAATCATTCAAGCCCAAACACAAGGCAACTACTCCAAATAGTCAAGGAGATCCCTCGCCTGTCTTCCTGCTCCATCATCAGGTCGGGTTCGAACATCGGCAAGTTGTAAATTTGTCAAAAGCCTACTAAAATCATATGCAAAAGCACCACTCGCCCCTACAATTTTTGAAAGTTCCGCTCGATTTCTCTGGTCTTCCATCATCAGATCCTGATTTCCTTTTCTGGATTCTGGAACTATCTCCATTCTAATAAAAAAAGAATTATCAAAATTGGTTCATAAATAACGGAGAAATCGGCGAACAAACATAGAAAAAAAAAGCATATATACGGTCGAATTGAGAACCTCCTCCTTTTTTGGAAGTCGGTTAAAAAAATAATTAACAAAATTGGCCCAGGCGTTGTTGAGTTATGCGCTTACCAACACATTTTGCGATTCATTTTTATATATAAGATTTTACACAAACACACGAATGGTATCATACTCGTTCCTAAAACCAGCCACGCGCGGACGCAAGTGATCCGTTTGTTTGTTTGTCTCCTAGTCCATAAATAATACTCCTATGCCTACTTTCCATAAGTTTTTAACCTTTTCTAGGAGGTGGCAGATTAGTTGGTGACCGTTGTGTGTTCAGCGTTTGGAACGAGGGCACTATGCATGTGAAGATGACCTTAAGTCTCAGACAAAAATGATTACACATCAAATTGATAAAGAAACAGGGTAAATTAAATAATGCAATTATTGTTTTCTAATTTATTAACATTTCTGTTGAAAACATCTCGTTATTAAACAATACTTAAATAAAGTTTATTGACTAACGTTTATAAAGAATTCAGTAGTAAAAATGATGTGTTTTCCTATCAAATTCTTCACAATTTGTGCATCAAATTATGGTGTATTTTCAAATAAGAATACATTATTATTAGAGTTTATATTGTTTATAAAAGATTTATTAAGCTTAAACTATAGATAAATGAATATTTTATAATGTTATTACACTTTCATTCTATCAGATAGCACTCTCACAATGGACCCTGAGCCTCCAATGTTAAATGCTTTCTCATGCCAAAGCAACAGGTGTCCACTAGAACCCTCAGTGGGACATTCAAATCCTCTGTAAATATATTTCATCAGTATATCTATGTCATCCAGACATAGATTACCCACAGCCTCTTCAATTTGTGTTGACTTGATAGCAAGTAGCACTTTTAAAGTTAGTGCCAAGGCATTGTCCTGCAAAAAGACATAATAACATATATTAACAAACAGTAAAAAATAATAGGAAAAATCACTCCTATGCTAGTGCAGTGAAACAAAATAACAGTAGACATACAGGAGAAATATAATGCAACCAAAGACAAAGATGAAATTCAAGACTTGAAAAAATTTATGAAGCAATTATTGGACAAAATGGGTATCATGTTAACAGTTCTCATTTCTATTTATTTATTTAACACTTTATGTACATACAAAGGCGGACTTAATGCCCGAAGGCATTCTCTACCAGTCAACCTCACGGGTGATGCAGAGAAGTGTTAACAATAGGTGGTGATTTCTAATATGACAGGATGCGTACAGAATACAAAATAGTTATCAAGAATACAAGTGTATTGTCAAAACATAGCTTAGAGCTACAAGCATTTATTATAAACATTCAACAAATCATCCAAGTGGCAAGGCTAATGTTTTTTTTTGTCCGAAAACCCGGAAAGCCCCCTTGAACAAGTTCATAACTTCATACCAATAAGCCTTCTGCTAATCATTTCAAAACTTTTTTAAAATATGCTCTTCAAAATATTACTTCCTGTCATTGAAGAATAAGAAATAATTCTGCTCGACTGTTTTATCAGACGTTACTCAAGCTTTCGATAGTAAAGTATGTGAATTTTAATGTTTGTAAACGCACCCACGACACTGGAGAAAATCCTAGATAGAGGTAACTTTTTTTCAAACAAAAAAAGTAAAAAGCTATCATTCAACTAACTTTCATAACATAATAACGTTATACTTGACAGACAGACATGTAAAACAGGGGAATGAGGTGACTAACCTACACCCTACATTGCCAGGTGTGCCTCAAGAAAGTGTGCTTGGTCCTATTTTGTACCTTCTATTTACTGTACACTTTCCTGGTAATACAACCACAACAGGAGCAACCTATGCAGATGACATTGCAATTACGATATACCATGAAGACCCTGTATAAGCATCTAGACTCCTTGAAAACAACCTGCAATTAATTAAGGAATGGACAAAATTATAGCATGTGAGTCCAAATCTGCCCATGTTATTTTTACACTTACGACAGCTAAGTTTATATCTAGTCCTCCAGTGACACTCAATGGAACCCAGATACAAAAAACTGGTGACACAAAATATTTGGGAATGCACATCGATAAAAGACTGACCTGGAAAAAACACATCTTCACCAAGAGATTACTATTAAAACATTTAAACCCGCTAATGGGACCTAAATTAAACTAAACCTGGAAAATAAACAACTCATTTACAAATGTATTTTTCAGCTACCACATTCTACTCTGGGGCACAGCCTCAAAATCAAACCTGATGAACCTGATCAAAGATTTCAATCTAAAATACTATGAAAGGTCACACATGATCCCTGGTATGTCTATACTAATATTATAAAGAGGTAAAATTTGTAAGATTGTATGTTTGTAAGTTTGTATGTAGGGGGTAATCTTTGGAACCGTTGGTTGGATTGCCAAAACTCTTTCACTGTTAGGTAGCTAGCATGTTCTTGAGTGCTATAGGCTATAAAACATCACACTACAATCAAATAAGTGGGTGAAACCCTAGGTGAGAGTAGTTAGTCACTAATAATAATAATCACCTGCACTGGGACCTTAAGATCATGTCAGTTAAAGAAGAAACAAAACAAGTGAAAAGATCAAGAATTACTGTCATCACATCCAAGCAATCTAGCAAAAACATCAAGATCACAACTGGAAGATTGAAAAAGAAAATACTTTAGAAATTTATAACCTATAATATTGAATGTTTTTATAAAAAGGTATATGTCACTGGATGTATACCCCAGCCAAGCCCAGTTTTATACCCACCCAAAGTACAGCTTATTGTCTAGTCCGGAAGACAGGTTGCAATAAAAAAGGAATAGAAAAAGTTTGCAATGTTCTACTTGTATATTTACTAAATATTTTTATATACTTGTATAGGATTAAAAAATACAAGACTTACTTTGATTTGTTGGTTGGCTGATCCTACTGGTGCATTGTTCAGAACAACCTTCAGTGCATCTATATACCGTCCTGTATTGTTGAGTTAAGGAATAAATAATGAATTACACACAGCAAGAAATTGTATGACTGAGGTTTCAAATACTAGTAACATAGAACAATCGATATAATATGATTGTACCTGTTGTACAATCATAGTATGTGGCTGTACTCAAACCATTATATTACTAAACTTTAAATGAAGAATGTGTAAATATAATCCATAATCATAATAGACAACTATAAAAACCACATGTTTTCAATACAAGAGGAAAACTTTGCATTATATTTCGAACAACATAGAACCAATTGATACACAACCCTACTGATAAATTACGATGATTCATTGGTACTACAATGAAACATTCAAAATATATGGTTTTATAATATTTTTGAACATATAAAAAATTATTGCATTTTTGTGTTTATAAATACACTTATTGGAACAATACGTTTATGTATTAAAAAGGATATTGATTCAATAAAGCGCAAACTTCGCCTTCATCCGGTCCAGTAGGAACTGATTGTTCTGCTTCATCTTCTTTAAAGTTATCTTCATTATACTGATCAATGTCGATCTTACGAAAGGCAGAGCTCGACGTGTTTTTCGCCATTTAATCAATAGGTGGTGAAAATCTTTAAAACAAAATGAAATTATCAAGAATTGATGTTGAATCGGATGGAAGAAATATTACATTGAAACTTGTCAAATTGTCAAACTTTAGTTTGAGTTGTCACTGTCATTGTCAGCCCAGTTGTCAGTTATAGGGGTGCTCTAAAATGTGCACGCAAAATAATATCTACCCAGTTGATTCTGAAATATGAACATACAACTTGTCAAGATTTAATCCACTAGCTTCCTTCAAAGAAACAGACGACAAAAAACAAAATAAAACTTGCTGTTGGTTTATGCTTTGCCTGACAACATATTTGCAGGTCAGGAGATTACGTCACGTGCAATTTATAATTTTTTCGGTTGTTTTGTATGGAGTTGGAGCACTATTTGAATAATATTACTGTAGTAGTGCGACAGGCCACGCCAGGCCACCCCAGGTATATACATCTGTGCTTTAATCTCAGCATGGATTTAAATGCATGTGTAGCTCGTAATGTTTGATTGTAATAGAGGAATTAACGACTTGGAACCAATTTTTATCGTCACCTAAGATGAGAGGCGTTATATAGAAACGTTTGTTATATCACGTCTATGCCTATGATACCGATACCGATAAACACCAAAAATGCTTTACATTCCCGCTTTAATTCTCACTAAGAGTGGCAGATCTAAATGTCAGACAGCTATTGAATATTTGACAGGTGACAGTTCTGTTCTGTCATCCCATGTGTCAAAGTGATTGCTAAATATTTTGTGGATTTCTGTAAAATAGAAAATTAAAAAATAGTTGCACAGCAGTTTCTTTCATTGTGAATTGATAAATAACAATTTTATAACCACAATGACAATGGGTGATGAACTGCCTGTTACTTCTTTAGTTTTACCTGTCCTCATACGTCCCGTTTTAACACAGGTATGTTATATTAATGTATTGTTCTTTTACGTATGAAATATGTATTACATATTTAGGATACGTCATATATCACAGTTAAAGATGATAGCATTTGAAAGACAAGTGTCTTTAATCGACTAAAACGAATTTAAGACTTGGTACTAAAGTAGAGCAAGTAATATTGGTTCTAAATAATTGTCGCCAAACTTCTTGTAATTAACATTATGGCTTTTGTTGTGTAATATTTTTATGAAATATTAGCATGTAATGACTTTCTTCAATATGTAGTTGCATTGTTGTAGCTATGTCGGCGCTCTTACTTGCTATATTGGTATTTTTATTGATTTATAGTTGGAGAAGTATGATTTGGGTGCATCCCAGACACTGCGCGCTGCTCTTACAAAGGCAGAGGCAGCAGTGCCTGGGCTCAACTATGACCTGGTAGCAGGGATCATGAGGAGGGCTGATATTCCAGTGAACATGAATGAGAGTTTGCTTCGTCTTCAAGGAACCTTAACAGAAGCTGAATGTCAGAACATTAATGTTCATTATTATCATATCCTTAAATTTTATTTTTTTATTGTATTAGCTTTAACACTTCATTGCTACCTATAATTTTATAGATTAGTCTAACATTATGTGAATAGTGATATTGTTATGTTCAGAAGACAACAGAGGAGAATTTTTGTTTTTAGTTGTGCTACAATAACTTCATTTATATTATTTTTTGGTACACAATTTTATCTGATTGTTAGTTAACAATTGTTGTATGTGTTGTGTGTAGTTAGGAGTAAAGATCTTTGTATTGTGTTGACTTTATTGTAGGTTTTAATACAAAATTTGTACCACTACTATTGCAGGTGCAGACTTAAGACTGAACAGGACAGAAGAAGCATTCCAAGAATTGAATAAGAAGTCTACAGCCTTGAAGAAAATTCTGAGTCGCATCCCTGATGAGATCACTGATCGCAAAACATTTTTGGAGACTATCAAGTATGGTTGTGAATTCTTTAATAGGCATAGAAATTTAAAGAAGCCCAAGTTTGATGCATTTGAAAATTAACTTATTCATAATGACATCACATTGATTAGTTTTTGAATAATTGGTTTTACCATAACAGAATTAATGCTTATTAATTATACCTTAGTTATGCACTTTGTTTAAAAAATCCAAATCTATACTAAAATTATAAAAAAGCTGAAGAGTTTGTTTGTTTGAATGTGCTAATCTCCAAAACTACTGGTTCAAATTGAACAATTCTTTTTTGATTCTTTATAAAAAAGAATAAGCTATAAAACATTATGCTACAATCTGTAGGAGCAAAGCAGCAGGTGAAACCGCGCGAGAGTAGCTAGTACATAATAAAATGCAAATTTATTGTTTACAGAGAAATTGCTTCAGCCATTAAGAAATTGCTTGATGCTGTGAATGAAGTTTCTACATATACACCAGGCACTGGCAAACAGGTTCTAGAACAGAGGAAGAGAGAGTTTGTGAAGTATTCCAAGAGGTTTTCCAACACTTTGAAGGAATATTTCAAGGAGGGACAGTGAGTGAACATAATATTAACACATTATCTTGCAATTTGTCTAGCTTACATTGACATATTTTATAATAAAACATATTTCAAATAAAAAAAAAACAAAGGATTTTGCTTTCTATCTGAATTTAAGGTTTCAAAGCATATTAAGTTTACTAATAAACAATTACTTGTGTAGGTTTACAATATTTACACTTATAATTATTATTATTACAGGGCCAATGCAGTCTTCGTGAGTGCTCTATACCTGATACATCAGACCAATCAAATCTTGTACACTGTTAAAAGTAAGTCTGAGTAAAATGTTAAGGGAACAGAAGGCAGTATTTAAAAATATATAATTTTAACCAATTATATTATATGTATTATGTAAATGATTATATTATAATACTGTTACTGTTTTGTTGTTATTAAGTTGGGCACCTTAGTATAATTTTCTGTTAATATGCTTTTGATCCACAAGGATATAATTATTCTAATTTTCATAGATAAAAATATGCTATAAATGTAAATAATATATAAAAATGTCCTCATAATAACATAAAATTGGTAACAAAGTGTTTAAGAACACTGATTTTGAAATCATTGATTTTATTGAGAAGTACATGAAAGTAACAATCTTAATTAATGTTCTGTTGTAATGCACATATATGTAAATCTAAAATGATAGATTAGATATTTCAGATATTTCACATGAGAAAATATAATTATTTTTTTAGTGTTTAGATAAAATCGTATTTTATAAGAAGCATTATTTTTCTCTTATTATTGTATCATTGCAAATTACTACTGTTGAAAGTCATCTGTTTGACATATAATTATCATGTAGTTATACTTCGGTAGAACAAACACATACCAGCTAAGTGGTAATAGATTCGATTTCTATGAAGTACCCACAGTTACTGCTTTATAGTTAAACAATTTTTTTTTTAATTTTATAGACAACTTGTCCTCGTTTTATTGATTCAAACTCATTTGAAAAGTAAAAAAAAAAAAACGTTAGTATTAAACTATTTAGTTTTCTAGACCTTTTTGTCAATTTTGTCACTCTAGCAAATTCAATGTAGAATATTGCTGTGGTTTGATCAGTACCGCGCCATTGTGGTACGTGGCGTGATGAAGGCCTAGAAAGATGCTTGAATGCAAAATAAGGTTGACATTCGGGTCGGATTGACAGAGCGCAACAAGTGATGCTCTTTCATCTCGCGTGCGCTAATTATGGCGTGGTATATATATATTATACCCGGCTCACAACTAGGTAAGACTTTGTCGTATTGAAGATAGGATCGATAGGTGTATACTTGTTCTTTATGTGTATGTCTGACTCTAATTTTCAACACAACTTTTTTTTTTATTCTTATGTTAACTTTCTTCTTGTAGACATGATGATGATTGACTGAAAATAGTAAAATGTACAATGTGCGAAATTCCCACGACAAAATTTTGTCAAGTTACGTGCCCGGGAAATCGGTATACAGTAGTATCGGTGAAATGATAAAACTACTTATTTGTAAATGAGTGGAATTGGTGTATTGCTGTAATATTAAATGTGGTAACTGCATGGTTTATGTTATTTTAATAAATAAGTACCTACTTTAGTTCCATGTTTTATTTACCTAATACCTACAAAATAGTGTACTAGTTAATTAAATCACGTTTTTTCAATTTTCCTATGAATATATCTAGTGCAAGTAAATAAAAGTCATTTGATTTTTTTGTTTAGGTTGCCTTTAGCCTCCCCGTTTCTTCTCCTGCTTCGAGACGAGCCATAATACTTGTTGCACTGCTTTCGTATAGCATAGTTACTAGATAAACTGTGCCATGTTTATACTAAATACGGATAGGGAATTGGATAGTGGCTATCCAGATGTCATGAAACAGTCCAGACTAATTAGATGGTATTATAAAGTGAAAGTAAGATATTGCTGTTGACACTTTTCAACGTCGATGAACCAGTTACATTGATTCTTACTGACTGCACGATTTTGGAAGCTGATATTTATGATGGAATTAAGTTTTGTTTTCTTATTTTTATGCCATAAGTCGGCAAATGAGGTGACGAATTATCTGCTGGCACGCAATCAGCGCCACCCATGGACACTCGTAGTACCGAAGGAGTTACTACAAGTGCGTTGTCGACCTCTTGTGGGTCATTGGGGATTTAAGGATAATTGAGGATGGGTCCCTATCCGTGGGGGTAGTATTGGGCCTCCTGTAGCCTCACTCACACGGTGAAACACAAAGTAAATGTTGCTTTACAACATGCGAAACAACTACAGTGTTGTGTTTCGCCTTATGAGTGCGGTTACCGGTGGCCCAATCCTCCCCTTTAGTCATTAAATTCGCCCTTAGCAAATACCAATCGTACCTTACCTACCAGCATATCAGTGATGTCAAAACAATCTTAGATTACACAATATATGACACAGAAAAGTGACATTGGCAAATGCCAGAGGTATAGAACTCGTATCCTCATTCTTGTGTGTATCACGCACCCCACAAGGATGTAGGGATTACTACGGTGGGGGAAGGGGGAAAGTAATAGCTATAAAACATCAAGCTACGATCAAATGGAGCTGAGCAGCGAGTGAAACCGCGAAGGAATAAGTAGCTAGTTTTTTATAAAACGTTAAACCTACTTAGTATTTGTAGGGGTTTTTATCTATGGTAGAGCCACTTGATTTTTGTATGAAACTCCATACATTTTGGCCCGAAAATCGATGTTTTTACTTATAGTGAATATATATTTAGAAATCCCAGTTCTAGAAAAGTAGAGGGAAAATTGGTAGAAGCAAGCAACCCTTTCGGTGAAATAACAAGACAAGTTTTTTATAAAAACTACTGTCGAAAACCTAAAACCTACAGTTTTTTCGAGTGTGAAATGAAATAGAACTTATCTATTGAATCAAATCACTATGATTCATTTTATCAGGAAAAATCGGTTCAAATGTTCAAACGAATTATACCGAAAAAAGTTGTCGAGTGAGAGTTCGTGGGAACAAAGCAAGGTTTTTGGCAGTTGAAGTCGGTGGCTGGTGTCAGTGAAAGAGTCTGGTAAGATGATTTCGTGACCGCGTTTAATGGGTCATGATGCCTGCGTTGCGATTCGTCTCGTCGTGCGAGCGCGGACAATGGCTGGTCGTGCCTCCTGCCCTCGACGCCCCTCCGCTTGGCCTGCCCGTGACACTTGACACAGGAACCCGCACTTCACGACCTCCAAATATTTCCGCGTACAACATTTTTTTCTCTCAGAAACGTGGACTGCCTGCCTACGCATCAATTTAGTGACCCAAGGTAAAAACGATATCATCGACTTTAAAATTAGGAATGAAAAAAGTTTCCCAGTCATTTAAAATATTTATTTATAAAGGATGTACCAACCAACACAAATTTGAACATTTCAATTAAATAAAATTACAAAACATGTACCTCATACTTATAGTAGCTTTATTTTAATTTAATTTAATTTTTATTTGAATTAAGTTGCTATTTAATCTGTACCTAACTAGTTTTATTCTGCAATTCTGCTGGTGTGTTCGGTGATTAATTTTGATTATTTTTTAAAATATTTTTGATCTCATTAATGTGATCTCGAATATAATTTGTAATTGCATAAGTATTATACATATCATGTTTGTCTGGATTTTTTTATTTTACTTTGACATGTGTGTTAATTTAGAATAGGTACCTATTTATTGTTGCTTGTGTCTGATTACGTTTTGTGTTTCATTATGCCTGATTTTGTATGTCTGCCTATGTTTTAATATTATAATTTTAAATACTTTTTTTGCATGATGTGGCCTCCTGTAATTGAGGAAGCACATAGTTTTTATATTATACTTGTTATTATCGTGAATGCTTTGTGTATTTTTTGTTGGAGGCCCTTAAATTTTCAGAAAATGCGTTTTTTTTATGTTAGTTGTTTAGGTTTCTTATATGTTTTTTAATTTAGAAGTTATAGGTTTTACTGCACTAATTTCAAACCTAACTAATTTGACTGCACGGTTGGTGCGGAGGCTCGGCTACTGGCTGCCGTGCAACGTGTCGCGGGTTCGATTCCCGCACGGAACAACTCTTTGTGTGACCCACAAATTGTTGTTCCGGGTCTGGGTGTCATGTGCATCTGAAATTGTATATTTGTAACCGCACCCACGACACAGGAGAAAATCCTAGTGTGGGGCAACGTTAATTAAAAAAGAAAAATGAAGAAAACGTTATACCTATTTTTTTCAAAACCATCTAGATCTAGAATTCCGTTATATGAAATTGTTTAAGTAAAGGTAGTCAAGACGATACAACCTACCTTTATTTTGTAAGTAGTCGAGACCAGTAGAAGTATAGTAAGATGGTTGTTTACGAAATAGATGTACAAGTACTTAGACCTACACATATTGTTGTGCTGTACTGAACTTTCTTTTCGGAACGAACACAAACGAATTTATGTAGGTACTTGTTATGACACTGAATCGCAACAATGAGTCAATCACACAGATCAGTTAAAATATTCATAGCTTTAAAGCGGAGGCGTAATCGATTTTAACTTGGACGTATTCAGTCCTGCGCCGGCGCCGCACTCCCAGATGAAAGTGTGTGATACGACGCCATTTAATATATATTTACTTGATTGTGATTCATAGTGTCATGTTGGTTTACTTAATCTCCTGCATGCGGAATTGATTTAAAAATTATTGCAACATTAAAGAACCTATTGGTATTAAATATTTTTTTTTATGTAAACGATCGGCAAACGAGCAGACGGATTACCTGATGGTAAGCAATCAGCGCCGCCCATGGACACTCGCAACGGGGTAGTAACGAGTGCGTTGCCGACCTTTTAGGGATTAGGGATTTGGAGATTTAGGGATTGAGGAGGGATTGGGGAGGGGAAGGATTGGGCCTCCGGTAACCTCACTCACACGGCGAAACACAACGCTGTGGTTATTTCACGCCGGTTTTCTGTGAGGCCGTGGTATCACTCCGGTCGAGCAGACCCATTCGTGCCGGAGCATGGCTCTCTCACACTTAAAATTGGTAGGGGTTACCTAATTTATGTATGTGTAAGTATACAGGATCCTATCCTATCTGTGCTCTATGGTTTACACTATATTATTACCTAAAACAATTTAGTTCAATGTAAATTAAAAACTAACCTAGTACCTACCTATTATATCTGGAACTAGTTATGCTTATCGATCGTTACAAATCGTAGTTTTGAACGAGTTCTTATATTTTCAGAAATCACAATTCTTTACCTGATATATTTTATACATTCTGAATTTTGGCATATTAGAGGAGATCATAAAAATGACATTCGGTATAAATGTA